GAGGCGGGAGGGGGGCGCAGGGGCCGCCTGGGAATCGGGGTGACGATGGGGGCAGCTCTGTCTTTGGCCAGCGTCCTGGGGGCAGGGGTCATGGGACTTAGGACAGGATTATGGGGGCAGCTGGACTCTTAAGAAAGGCCACATTTACCCTGAAGCTTCAGACTGAGAGAACTGAGTGTGTCTGGGTCTCTGCCTGGGCCGTGCCCCTCACCCCTGCCCTTCATTGCCTCTCTCCTCTGAGAAAGGGTTCCCTTGGCCAGAGCTATTCTAGCAATTACTTAGGGACAGAGTAGGAAGAAGGAGCCGCTCACAATCTCCTCATTCAGCCGCAGCTCCAGGGAAACTAGAGAAGGAGCAAAATCAGACACAGCCGGGCCCCAGGGCACAGCCTCAACAAGTTCTGATGGTGGGGTCAGGTCCAGCTGGGGGCTCCAGCAGCCCCAGCACTAGCTGTTGGGATTTGAGCCTGATCAAGACTATTCCAGGGAAGCCCCTGGCCTGCCATACAGGCTGATTAGGAACCAAGACGTTTGCCAGTCCAGGGCCTTTCCAACATCCAAGAGCTTGTGAGGCAGGGAAATTAGGGGCAGGCCTCTGAACAAACCTCTAAACACCTCCAGAGCCCCAAGGCCAGTGGGTGGCCCATTTCTCCCGCCTCAAGGAGAGTGGAGGGTATGTGTCCCGGATGGTGACGGCACAGCCGGAAGGGGATCATAAGCATTGGCTTTTCCAGAATTAGCAGGGATGCCCCATGACTCGCACCCTACCCCCAAAGCTTGTTCCTGAACGACCGTGAGACCCTATTTTGGTATCTGCCCCAAGCCCCAGGCAGCAGCAAGCCTGGACTCAGGGGTGGCCACCACCCGTGGCTGGCTCAGCATCAGGCTCAGAGCACTGGCTGCGAGGGGCCCAGCTTGTCCTGAGGGTGGAGTGTGGGTTGGACCCTGGGTGACAAGTCGTGGAAGCAGAGAGAGCAGGCTGAATGTAAAGCAAAGGTACCCTGGAGGTAGGATGCGTGGGGCAGCATAGCTGCGGGGCCAGGCGGGGAAGCCGCCCTGAGCCTTGGCAGCAGAGGAGAGAGCGGGACACTGGCCTGGAAAAAGAGCAGGCTGGAAGGTTTGGCCTGTCCCCATCCCCTCCCACATCTGCTCCAAACACCATCACACACTGAACCCCAAACACACCTCTGTCTCCACAACCGCATGGACTCTCGGACACTTCAATCGGTGAAGCATGACCGCCGGCACACAACCCCGAGAGCCACGGGCGTGGCCACAGCACACTGTCCCATCCAGGCCCTACACGGCTGCACGTCTGCAGTACACACTTATACAGCCTCACGTAGACCATTCCACGTTTGCATGATTTACACAGTCACAGATGCATTATCCACACAACCACATCACAGGTACAGCTCTGCAGCTACCCCCCAAGTACACGCATAGCTTCGTACGCGGTCTCGTATACATAACTCCTATACCACGTGTATGTCGGCAACAGTATTTACAATTATAGACATAACGTGATGTAAGTAGACACAGATACCCAACTAAATGCATAATTCTATGGCCAGCCACACATATGTAAATATGTAAGCAAATGCAGGCCCACAACTTCTCTCTCTTGAATAAGAGACCTAAACAACATCATTTCCCTGTCTTAGCCCTAAGTTAAATTAGGGCTAAGTTAAATCAGGCAGCCAAGAAAAACTTGCAGGAAGTTGGCTGGGAGAAACTTCGCTGCAAACACCCGAGCTGACGAGGGGGGAACAGGCAGTGGGTCATATATAACTAGACAAGAGAAAAGCAGTGCTCCCCCGGGGCCTCCACTCCCCCAGTCCCAGAGCCAGCCAGGCCTCTGGAATCAAAAAGCCTCTTGCATCTGGGTTGGGTAAGTTGTAGGGACTGGGAGGGGAGCCAGGGAGACTGCTGACGGAGGGGAAAGTGTTTGGAAAGGGGAGGCGCCTGTGGTTTGGAAACTGCAGGGCTCTCTAGCCCCTGCCTCCAAAACCAGAACAGGCCCGGCCACCTACCCACCCCATGGGCGGCCTGGCCAGCCCTCCCTGGGGTGAGGTGGCAACCGTCCCCCGAGGGTATATCGGAGTGACCACGGCGTCAGCGCCTCCCAGAAGCCCAGAGGTGCCCCCCAGAGCTCCCAGGCCCCTTCCCTCAACTTGATTCCTAATGGGGCATCTCTTCTAGAGACCCCAAGCAACGCAAATGACTCAGCCCCCCTCCCCCCCCACCAAGGTCATTTCCTTCAGTCTGGGCGTCCTCCTGTCTGGCCCCCTAAGGTGGGGTTTGTGGCCCCTGCTCAGTGGAGGGACTGCCTCTGCTTTCCCCCAGGGAAACCTGTGAGGAGGGAGCTGAGACCCACAGGGCACGCGGCCACACAGAGGTAACCCACACCTTCGTCATCCAAGCCAAACGTGGCGGAAAACCGAGCCCCCAAACAGACCAATTGGAGGAGTTGCCCTGCCTGGGACCAGGGCTCTGAATTCTCACCTCCTGGAACCTACAGTACCAGGGTAGGACGAGCCTCCAAGCCAGCCAGCTCTCTTCCTGGGAGCGTAAACTCCCAGACATCTGTGTTCACATCAGCCCCAGGGCCACCCTGAAGAGGGCTTTGTGCAGGAGCAGCTCAGCTTTCCTGAGTAAAACGGACGCCCCTGGTTCTGCCCACCAGGAGGGGCAGGGGAAAGCAGGATGCTTACGTGGCCCTTGGGGCTCTGTCCTCAGCACGCACACTGGGGACTGGGGAGGCTGGTGCTGGGGTCTGGCCCCCATGAAGCAGTCTAGGCCCTGTCCTCTGCTGTGGGGCAGAGAAGGGCTCCTCTGATCTGCCCAAGAGATAAGGCTGTAATTTTTCTCTGCAGAAGTAACTTTGCCTAGGGAAACTTTAATGATGGCTTCCTGCACGAACCACAGGCTTTTAAAAATAGCCCAACTGAGCAAAGGCAAAATGTGGAGCCCAGGCCTCGGCTCACCCGAGCCTCAGAACCCTGGGTCCCTGGGGCCTGGCGCTGCCGCTCCGGCCACCGCCCAGGCCAGGATTTACGGTGTCCCACTGGAAAATGGAGCGAGACCAGGAATAGGCGGGAGCGCAGGGGGCTGGACTATAAAACACGGATCTTCTCAAAGGCCCGAGTCAGAATCTGGCAGGGCCAGGTTCTCAGGCGGTCTTGGCGGCTCGCCCCAGCATGGCTGGATTGGAATCTGAAAGCTTCCAGGAGTGAGTTGACGCTGAGAAAGGCTTGCATTTGAGAAGAGCGTGCTGAACTGTGGAGGCTCCCGTGGGGCATCACCTACCTTTTGCCCTTTGGCAGCCTTTCAGATTCGGCCAGCAGCCTGCCAGCTCTGTCCTTGCGGCCTGGCAGGGCAGCTGCCTCCATCCCAGAGGGAGCTGCTATCTCCGCCCGGCACAGGGCCGCAGACAGGCCCCTGATAATCTAGGGAAGAATGAACAGATGGCCCTCCTGAGCAGGGGGTTAGGGTGGCAGCTGCCCTCTCCCCCACTACTGCCAGAGGCTCAGGCAGGCTGCCTGGCAGGGTCCAGCTGAGTGGGTGGGGAGCGCCCGTCTCAGAGCCAGCTGTTCTGTGCCAGCATCCTGCTATTTTGAGCTCAGAGAGTCTCCCACTCGGTGCCCCGGCTCCACACACCTTTGTCCTCATCAGTGTACCCCATAATCCCTTTGCAGCACCTACTGTGTGCCAGGCACTGTCTCAGCCCCCAGGGAGAATCCAGGTCGGAGAGGACAGCACAGGTTCAGTGTGACCCTCCCGGAGTGTGTGCCAATCTCTGCCATTCATCCTCCGCTGAGGGGACGGACGGGGCTGGGTGTCCCTTCTCAAGCCGTTCCTCTGGGGAGACTCTCGGACCGGCTATCCGAGGCCAACCGAGGCTCCCGCGGCGCTGCCGTATCGTTCCGCCTGGGCGGGATTCTGACTTAGAGGCGTTCAGTCATAATCCCACAGATGGTAGCTTCGCCCCATTGGCTCCTCAGCCAAGCACATACACCCAGGAGGCAGGGTGTCTGTGGCCGGCCAGCTGTGGGTCTGCCGCTCCCCAGCAGATAGGAGGCCTGAGCAGGGACTCCCGTGGAGGCACAGGGTCCCTGCCAGGAGAGAGGCCCAAGGGATCCAGGAAGACACGGACTTCCCAGCCTCCCCACACTTGCCCCCCACGCTCCTGTTCAGCTCCACACGGTGCCTCTCTCCCAGTGCCTGGGGAGCCCAGAAGAGGGCGTGCAGTCCTACTGTGAGACCAGAGCAGGCAGCTCCCAGAGGGGCTCCACCGAGCTGTGTGGTCAACTCGGCCCCCCCAGGGCTCCCGCCTGATTGTGCCGCACTGTTTTGCCCCTGCTCATTTGGCCCCTGGACCCTTAACAGGGCACATAACCATGCCCACAGCATCCTCTCAGGGAAATTATGTGATCAGGCGATCAGATGAGTGGTCAGGGGAGGCTGAGGTGTCCCTGGAGCTGTCAGAAGGTTGGGCAGAGGAGGGGTTTAAGGGTTTGAGGTAGGAGACAGGCTGAGAGAGCAGGTCTGGGGCATAGATGGACGCATGGCATGTTCAGGAAGGAGAGGGCTTGCCTTGAGGCCTCCAGGCATTGAGGGGACACCTGGGTTTGTTCTCAGACTCCCTGACTTGGGCCCCAGGAGGGCCAGGTTCCTCGTGGCCCTGCCCTCAGCCCAGGGAGTTTCTGGGGCCCTGAGGACTCCAGGCCCCGGCAGCCTGTCTGCAGTTATGGGACTGGGAGGCTGGGAGAGCCAGCTCTATGCTGCCTGGGGCTTGCAAGGCCATGTGGGGCCCTGGCCAGCTTTGGCACATGCAGGGCACAGCTGTGAGGCCTGATCCCTTCTCTTCCCTTTCCTGGAAAAGCCAGAGGCTGATGCAGTACACCTTGGCCACCAGCTGGGGCCAGGCCACGGGGAGAAGGAGGCAGGACAAAGGGCCTCTACCCCGTCCTCAGATAGTTGTGCTTTCTTGCTTCACCCACCACCCGCAGAGGAGAAGTATGTCACTGTGCAGCCTTACACCAGCCAGAGCAAGGACGAGATTGGTTTTGAGAAGGGCGTCACCGTGGAGGTGATCCGGAAGAATTTGGAGGGCTGGTGGTACATCAGGTAAGAGCCCCAGCAGAGGAGCAAGGTGCCTCTCTGCCACCCTGGCCCCCAGGCTGGCCCTGGGCAGCAGAGCGGCTGAGGGCACCAGCTGGCAGGTAAATCCTGCCAGCAGCTTTGCACCCACGGCCTGGCTTGAGTGCTTCAGTACTGCGAGGCTGAATGGCCGTAACAGAGAGTGCTCAACTTGCACATACCCTCCCGGGACACGAAAAGCAGAGCCTGAGCCACAGCCAGCGGGGCACAGGGGCCCCGGCTCAGCTTGCAGGCCGTGGTGCAATCCCTTCCCATGCATCCGCCAAGAGGGTCCAGCACATCTGAATTTGGTTTTCTGTGTCCGACTATGGCTGCTTGGCGTGCTCTGCAGCTCAGGACGCCTGCAGTGCTGGCGTCCACGGGCCTTGCCGAGGTCCCAGCAGGCAGCCCCAGCTGCCCACAGATGCAGGCTCAGGCCTGGGCTGTTCCGCTCCGCAGGGCTGGCTTCCGTGGTTGAGAGAGCTGGGGCGGAAGTGAGGCCTGAGCCCAGGCCCAGTTCAGAGGCCTCTTGCTCTGCCCCTTCACTCTCCTTGGGCCTAATCACACTTCCCAGCTGAGAAACCCATTCGGGGGTGTGAGTAGGGGAGTGGGCAGCTTCCTGACACTCCTGGAAGCAAACTAAACCCTGTGGGTTTCACTCACCTCTCCTCTACCAGGTCCTTCCCCCCAGGCCCCTCTGCCCTGGGGCTCCCAGGCCAGCTAGCACCCCCCGCAAGGAGGGGCTTGTTCCCAGGAAGTGTTCCTGGGTCCTTTAGAAGCAGCTCCGCTGTGATGATTTTACCCGGTTTCTCTTCTCTGCCTGTAACCCGGATGACAGAGAGAGTCCCCGTCATGGGCTCTGGGGACCGCCTCTCCAGCCCACCACACCTGGGAGCCCCAGACCCACTGTGGGTAGGATGCGTGTTCTGAGCTGTCCCCCACCGAGGGCACAGATGGCCAGGGCGGCGGGAGCACTCACAAGACAGTTGCTCAGAACACAGCATGCCGCAAGGTGTTCAGATTGATCTGTGCTGACGGGTAGGATGAAGGTCGTGGGCCACATGGGATTGAACCTTAGAGTGACCTGCCAGGACATAGCGCCCCTGCCCCCGGCCCTGTGCACACCAGTCAGCGGGCTGAGGTGTCCCTTTCTGTCCCGTTAGGTGGGACAGGACTGTGTGTGCCTGGGCGTGTTTGCCCAAATCCACTGCCCCTAGGCTTTGATGTTCTCTAAACAATGGAAATTAGAGCCAAGCCCACAATCCAGCCACCACGAGTCTGCGTGGGAAGGCCAGTGAACATTCTGGCAGGCTGCTAACCTAAACCACTCACCCAGAGCTTTTCTACAAGGCTGCTGGGTGTTTTAGTTTTCTAAAATGACCAATAAAACCACTCTGAGTTGGTTCCATCTAGTCAGCTCTTGTCCCCATGGCCTGGCCATTCAGCCAGTGGGAGCTGCAACCGAGAAAACCCTGCTGAAAAGGTTCCACCTTAAGAAGGCTGCCAGACACCCCCTTAAATATGCCTTTTCCCAGCATCCCAGGCTCTATGTTGATCCTTACTTCCTGTCTTTCTTCTCCACCC